TCCTGAACAGCCTATTATGTAGTTAAACAGCTGCAGCACAACGCCATAGAGGTAGCTGCATTTCAGAGATAAATTAAGCAATTTCTGTCTATACAGAGGACTTAATTCCTGCCAGGAGTTTCTGTATGCATATGAGTATGCCATAAAGCAGCTGTTCCCAAAAGAGGGTCGCTGGAGATGAGCACGGTGACTGGCTGCAGATGGACCATGGGGCTGCACTAGGCAGGGAACATGCTACGGCCGTCAGTGCTGAGGCTGAGGTGCGAGAAAGTGGAATGGTCTACAGGAACATGAGTGTTGACTAAGGTTCCCGGGTCCAACTGTCTGGGACCATCACATCAAAAAATTACTGTATATATCTCTATGTATGTGTACCTCCCATTTCTGTTGTGTGCAGTGTGAAATTGCTGCCTCTAGTCTGTCGATCTCACCCATGCAGAGAGAGGTGTCCCCATTGCCCCTGCCATAGGAAGAACCCTTTGGGTTAATGCTGAGTCTCAGTAAAGAGCAGCTGCCCAAAACCACAGCATAATCCCTGTGCCTGAGTTCTGTGCCCTTCGTTACCCTTCCCCTTGGCTCGGCTGGAGGGCAGACCTGGGGAGGGAACAGGGCGCTTGGCAGATATGCCCCAGGGGAGGGCTACTTTTGCAGCACATGCCCCCGATGGATCTCTCCCACTAAAAAAAGCCTCGGGAGGAATGTGTTTGTGAAGGAGAGACTTGCCAAGATCCCCAACCAAGAGGACTCAGCTGCAGGTGCCATCAGCTCCCACGCTTGGCAGTGGCTGGGGGCGGCCCGGGGGGTCCCCCCCGCGCGGCGGGCCCCCCCCCCAGGGAGCTTCCCCACGGCGGAAACCCTCCCCGCCGCTCTCGTGAGCAGAAAAAGTAGAGATTGTTCTGGAAACTTCATTTGATGCTCTTCATTCCCTGCCAGCACCTGGGAGGGATGGTCTGAGCACTGCCAAAACCTCTGCTTTGCTCAGGTCTTCCTCTTGATTCTGCAAGTCTTTGTTTCTCTTTCGGCACAGGCTGCGACCGTAAGGGTTCTCGTGGTGCTTGGAGGGTGGGGTGGAAGGAAATTCCCTGGCAGTGTGGGGACAGGTGGGAGAGCCCTCAGCGTCCCGCCATTTCGGCTCACCAGGTCATGGACAGGGTGACCTGCCCCAGCTGCAGCCCAGCCTGGGGTTTGCGTGTTGGCTAATAAAGTGCTTGGAGATCCTTTTGGATGAAAGGCACTGTATAAATGTAAGCGTCAACCTGTCAGACACCAGGAAGCACTTCTCTAGACATTAAGGGGTCTGCTGATATTCCTCACTTCGAAGGCAGTTTGTGGGTGCTATCACTACATTGCCAGATGCTCTGCGAACCATAACGGGCTTAACACTGCTTCACGTTTCCTTTAAGCTCTCTGTCTAGAACTGAGGCTCCCACTACACAGGATTTTTCCGCTTTTCCGCGTACACAGCTTGACACCTGGAGCTGCCAAACCAGCTTCAGACCTCAAATTAACATGCACAAACCAGCACTTGATGGGTCAGCCTCCAGCATGGCCTCTGCCCTTGCTGAAATGCTGAGGAGGACATCAAAGCAGCCGATGGGGAAGGGCAGGCTCAAGGATTGGAATGCCAAGGGTTGAGATGGGCTGCCCTGGAGGCACGTCGCTCTGGGCACAGCGGGGCTGGGATGGACCAGGATGAGGAGGACCTGACCATGGGGCCAGGAGCCTCTTGAGGGCACCACAGCAGCAGCTCATGAGAGGGCGGATGGTGGGTCACGTATGGCACATCATCGCGTAGCAGTTACTTCTTTTCCTTGCAAAACCACCCAATGACAAAACATTCCCTCAAGTCGTACTAGATGCAGTGCTGAAAAAGATGAAGCTGGACTGGTAATTCACTGATACAGCAGGACATGGGCTTATTTTAAAGCAAGTAATTTCCATTATATGAAATGTATTCTACATATATATATGAAATCCACACATCTCCCTATGCATGCTTTAATTCCTTCCTGCTTGATCTCAAATCTAACAGGGTGACAAGGTTTAAGCATGAATTAAAATGCATTTTTTGTGGTATAATGTACAACATTATTAGTCTCTGCACGCTGCCAAAGGCCATTCTAATCAGGTCGACATGTAATAATAAAACACTTCATAATGCACTTCATCAATTTACAAAGAATTTAAAATCTAAAAAAAAAACCCCCAAAACAAAGCAAAAATGTCGAATATCAACAATTTTACCAGTCAGGTCTTTTTCTTTATTTAAATTTTCAGAGTTCTGTTTATTATACTTGTGTTTTACAGGCAATGAAGAAATGATCAGAGACTTTCTAAATTTTTCATCTGTTAAAATAAAATTAGTTGAATTAGTATTTGATTAAACACTAGACTATTTTGCTATATCCAGCCGTTCTGTGTAGGTCTAAACCCTGAAGTCTGCAAATCGAAAGCATTCTACTTTCTATCTTTATGCTTATTTATGTTCCTCCTACACTGGTTTTGTAACTGAATTTTATTTTTATGATGTAGGGTCAGATTACAGTTGATTTGTTTATATGTTTATTAAGATACCACATGCTGTGTTTCTTGTGTCAGGGACTGAAGCAATTTGACTTTGATTTATTTGCAACACAAGTATGATAAGCATAATGTAATTTTTCTAAACTAACCAGATGTACAATATGTAAATAGAAATGTCTTATTTGCCTTTAATGATAGAATGTTACCTGTACAATAATTTAATATATTGCACTTTGAAATGTAACATGCACAGATAACATCAGATTTTTCAGTAGGCATCTAGTTTACTTTTGATTCTTTCTTTGTTTTTTTTTCTTTTTTTTTTCTTTTTTGGAGCAAAGGTGGGACAAACAGAAATTATAGATATCCAAAGCTTGTATTGAACATTTTCTCATAAAGACATGGGAAATGTAAAATACAGGGTTGGCATCATTCATGCAGGCCTATTTTTGCCCGAGAACATCCAATGCAGTTTTAACATATCAAAAAACTATCAAAATATGATTCTAAAATTAAAGACATACAGACTGCTCCAAGTCAGCATTCTTAGGTCAGCTGCGATCTAAGCTTATCTGTAATCTGTTGTTTTCAAAACTTGTCTTTATAAAGTCTGATTACTGGCAGGATCAAATACAACTTGTCTTAATCACTTGACCTGTTGCCGCAGGTGGAGATTTTCAAGTGAGTCAAGTGTGATTTGTCCTTGACGTGTAAAGGAAAATTAGGTAAAATCAGCTGCCACATATATGTATATATGAGGGGTGTTTCTATTTTAAATTTCTTAAATATAGGGAAGACATGGGCTTTAGTTTTGTGTGGCTATTTCTAATTAGCAGCTTCACTTCAAATAAGATACCAATTTTCAAGACTAAAGATACCAATGTCTGCAGGTACATTTTTATTTAAAATAATACAACAAATATAGGAAGTAGCATTATTATTTTACACTACCTAGGATTCAGCTCTTTCCTTAATAGAAAATGCCTTGAAAACAGAAGGGATGGGAAATATAATGTTTTCATCTATAGAAGAATATTTTAGGAATTTTTTTTTTTTGCATTTTTGAAGGATATACATTCGTCTTGGTTTTTGCTTCCAAATATAGTTTAAGGCTATTTGGTAAAGTATATACCAGATATCAGGCTCAATTTACAGGGTTTTCTCCTCACAGAAACTTCTCAAAACTTCATCTCTAAAGATTCATATCTTGAAGCTAAACATGCTTTATCAGCTGTGCTCCAAAGACAGAACTCATGCTTAATACTACACATTGTAGGAAAAACCAAAACCAAAACCAAAACCAAAATGAAAACAGACTTGAAGCAATGTCAGATCTGCATAACCTACGATACTTCCATCTTTTCAGTCATCCGTCAGGCTGCAGGGTGCATGGGATTCGGATTTAAAGTGCTCATCAGGTGAAGAACAAAAGTGCTCGAGTATAATTAAATAGCTGTTCTGCCTATGGCTAAATACATTGCATTTGTTAAAGCAGGTAAAGAAGGGATGTGGTAGCTGGGGCTGGCTGTCTCACTGGGTCCAGACTGTTTTGGCCTAAAGTAGTGTTCAGTAGGATTTAAATCCTGGAATTGGGGGCTGCGGGTTTTCTCATCTTATTGCGTCTTCACCTGAAGACTTCTAAGTGCTGGGTTGCTTGGTTGGCTCTGGAAGGAAGGTGAAGTGGAATAATTCTGTCTTAATTTGTTTCACATGAAAGCCTCTTGACTGTGGTAGTTACCACTTCTCTCTTCTGACAATGCGAGGCTTGAAAATGTATTATTTTCCTTATATTCCATGTCTGGAAATCATGGTTGGGTTTTTTTTCATTTCTTTTTTTATGTTTGAAGCAAGCAAGAAGCTTATTCTTGCCATAAATGATACTGCATAGAAAAATATGCTCTAAAAAAAATACAACTGTAAACCACAGTTCACCTTTACCTTAACATAACCATTAAACTTAGATATACTTACCACTCACATTCATATTTCTTAAACTGTTTACAACATCACAACTGGCATTTTAAACAAGCAAGATTTTTTTTTTCTCAAGGATACCCTGGAAACTCAATTGATATAACATTTTGAGAGTTTGAAATATTACATGTAGCACAGCTCTTTAAATGAAAGAGAGAAGGTTTCTAAAAGAAATGCTAACACGTAAAAGAACTGTTAAAAATGCAATGAGTGTTCCAAAGGCGCGAGTATAACTTTTTCTTTACACATCTTGCTACAGAAGATCTAACTTTTTTAAGGCTTCCATTTTCCTTTCACCCATCACTCGAGTCCTCTTGCATTATAATTTTGCTTAGGTTTCAGAGTGTCGTTATACTGCTAACAGCAAACGTTTCTCAGCGGGCATTCCCACCACCACCACCAGACTTGTCTGCTTCTTGGTTTTCTGATGAACTTTGGAGTTTTAGTGGCTGGATATCCCTGTTCATCTCCAGAAACTTGACATGACATGAGAGGCCTAGCGGTATGTTGCAGTAACAAAGATGAGAAGAGTGGCAGAGCGCATGGGTAAATATGTTAGCTGGGTTCTAGGAAAAGAAACTGGAGGTCAGAGAGATAAATGGGTTCTTTCTTTCCTGCTCTTTACATTTGTAGCACCTTCTACTTGGATTAGCTAATGCCTCTAGTGAATGGTGAGATGCACCCATTTATAGTTTGTTATTCTTATCCCTAATTATCACACATTTTATAAAAATATAAATAACAAAAAAGTAAGCTGGGTTCCATCTCAAGAGGTGTTTCTTGTTGTCCTCTGAGAATATATTGGATAAGTCAGGTCTCAACAAGCCCTATCCATTGTGGCTGATTGTAAGTCAGACAATAAATACAAAAAGAAGTCGTTCTTGCGGTGAGCTCAGCAAATTCTGAGGAAATCAAAAGCATTCCACTGTGCTTATGGCACAAAGAACACAACAGCAAGGGCATATTTAGTGGAGAGAATGAGACAAAAATTACCAGGTAAGTGACAAACTGTACAAGCATTTTGTTTAAAAAAGGAACTCTGCAGCATTCTGTCTTTAAAGCCGGGTTTGAGCCTCTGGGATATATATCTCGATGCTGTCTGCACGCTCTGTGGCTGAATTCTGCCGGAAAGAGGCTGCTCTCTTGGCAGCCATTAGCCGTCTTCGAGCTTCTTGTCGCTGTCTGTCAGGGAGGTCCAGAGATTTTTCTCTTGTGATAGGGAATTTTCCTTTTGGGGGCTTCTTTGGTACAGGAGGAGGGACCTTTCTTTCTTCCTGCAATAGGGCATTAAAACTGAGGGTGAACTGCATGCGGAAGGTACTGTCAGCAGAGCATGCAAATCGAAGACATGAAATGCAAAATACTGGTTACATACATCAAGCATGCTCAATTTGTGCTCTCCAACCAGCTGACTAATGGACTACATGAAAAGCTATCCACACTAGAGACACTGACAAAACCCTTTCGCTTCAGCAGCCATTACCAATTCTGCAGTCTTGTGCCTTAAAAAAGACTACGCTTCCTTCTCCTGTCCTTGCAGGTATGCTGCACATGCAATCTGCGTACCTCCCTTTCATATGAATTTGTTCGATTTCAGCTGACACATTATGACACTCATTAGAAACAGAAACACACACTGGCTCTCCGATAAGAATTCAGCACATCTGTGTGGTCTGATCAAGAGAAGAGACTGTCTAAGATTAGCAGGACAGGATTTTTAATTAAATTAATCATAATGAGTTTAGCCTCAGCTGGATATGAGATAGCAGCTGTGTATACATGTCTATTAGTTTAGTCTCCTCCAAGAATTGCTAAATGGAAACATGCAAAAACCAACCAGAGAACGTCAGGCTAATTGTTCTGCTTGACAGCCTGGATCATTTTGAAGAAAATGATACTGAAGAATTATCAAGTTATAAAGTGAGAGTCAGTAGATTTTGGTACCAAAGTAGCTGCAAATTGCTCTGCAGGTTTTAAATCAAGAATTGTTTTGAAGTATGAAATTGATATTTTACTCCATTTAGAGACTATGAAATACCATATAAGGACCTTAAAAAGATAATGTAGAATCATGGAATCACACAATAGTTCAGCTTGGAAGGGACCTCTGGAGGTGATCTCGTACAACCCCCATTCAAAGCCCACTTGAAATTAGATGAAACTTTGAAGTAACAGCAGATTTTTCAACATCATATTTAATACTGGACTGAATAGCCCCAAAGATGGAGATTCCAGAACTTGACGTGTATGGTATGATCATCATGATCAATCTTTTTGCTGTATCACTTCTTAAAGTAATAGTAATAGTCTAGAATATGGGCTGTTCCTTATGGAGAACACAGTTAATTTGATGCACAGCAGGATTGAAATAATACAAAAATTGAACTGATGCGCCTGTGGTTTACAAACTCCTCAGTGCTTGGTCTTTTTTTTTTTAAAACTAATTCTGAGTCTACTACCAAAATGCATTAGCCAAAATTAAATAACTAAGATTATTTAAGAACCTAGCTCTACTTTCTCAGCAGTAATAGTGCAGCAGCCTAAGATGCTATTCCCCATGACAGCCAGCTCTTCCAGTCTTTATTTTCTTTATTTTAGGAACATAAGGGTTCCATTCCCCTTGTCCCATCTGATTTTTTTCCCACTTTTAGTTATCTCCCTCTTAGGAACACCACTGTTGCTGTCACTACAATAATTTCTTACTTCCAGTTGTCACTAGTAAGCAAGAGTTGCAAACTCACCATCCACCAACCAGTTGGCTGAAAATTAAAATCCAAGAGGAGCATGAAGAAATGAAAGAGTTGTCAAAATGCCTCCTAATTCCTCCCGAACCAAACAAGTATTCACCTGAGGCCAACAGTACTGACTCAAACCAAATGCTGTCTTCATCTGACTGATACAATAATGAGCAAAGATAGTGGGATAAATAGGGTGAGGGATGGAGCTCTAGAAATGGGAAAGGCAGTTTCAGAATTACATTGCTTTTGTGGGCAATTTGCCACCTTTGGTTTGTAAGCGTGGCTGGGGTATCTCCCGGGTGCAGGGCAGAGGTGCAGGCAGTTTGCCAGAAATACTCTTCTTCCCCCAAACTTTTATGTGCCAAGCTTTAGTTTGACCTGCACTGAGTGTTGCCATGTGCTTTTATCTTGGTCCTGTTCTAGCACCAGTTGTGTCGTGCAGGCAGGGTTAAACACCGTAGTGCTCAGGTTTGAGCTGCCCTAAATGTAGCAGAGTGCTGAGTTTACCTTGATTGAATTCTTGAGCTATTGTCCTTAAGTCTGAATTAATCAGAACATATTTCAGTTCAGGCTTTCAGAATGTGAATTCAAATAATTTGAACAAAACTTAGCAAAATCCATGTTATTTGTTACACAGTTCAGCTCAACATTGTTAAATAGAAAAAAACCACAACCTCTCACATCTGATGAAGGTTTATTTCTGTGTATAAATGGGGCCATGCCAATGAAATACATTCGAAGGTTAGAAACTACCGTGTTTCACTATCCTATTTAACCCAAGGAAACTGCAGGACTACAAATGGGGAGCAGATGGTGTCCACAGCCTGCTTACCTTTCTTTCAGGCGATTCTATTATTTTCCAATCGTTGAGTTTCAATTGATGCAATTCATCAAACTTCATGCTGACGTCTTCAATTGAGAGCTGCAATAAGTCCCAGAAACCTGCTAGGTCCTGGGAAGTTGGTCTCGGCATGGCACTCGGGTCCTGTCATGCACAAAGGAGAGAATGTGAATCGACCAGGAGGCTTTAAACAAGGTGCGTTGAGGCGGGAAAGGCATCGTGCCAGATTACATCACTACAGTGCTGCTCAGCCTGAAGGATACGCACGCTTTACACAGTTGGAAGCTGTGACTGGAAACTTGTGCCTCCTACACAACCCAAACATGTACGAGCTAGATATCATCTATGAGCCTTCCCAAATATGTGTGGCATGGGAAGTTCCTGGGCATCATATGTTGTGCTGACCTGCATTTCTAAAAAGGAGCGAGCTGACAGCCTCTGCCAGCTGATTATTAAAGGGAAGGGGAGCATGATTCATATTCTAGACAGCCTGAAGTCCTTCTGGTTAAAAATTGCATTAATGATAGTTGATTAGAAAGCAAAACAACACTATGAAGAAGTAATAGTTTATGCTGAATTCGATGTTTACATTGTCTTGTATTTTCAAATGTATACACAAGGCATAAAATTTTGATGGGAATAGTAGGATTTTGCTCTCCAGGGATTCAAATCATGCTCAGTATCTAGGAAGGCACTAGCCCCAGGTACTGCAATGAAGTGGTGCTATGTGCATAAGACTTCATGGAAGAAACACTGAAACATTGGTGACTCTCCATTAGACTATTAACTTGATGTCAATGCTGGATGATAATGACATTAGCAGGTAGTATGCTAGAATGCTCTAGCACCAATGCTGCTAGTTCAAGAAGACAGCTTTGTCACTTTAACGAAATGAGGCTTAATTGGTAAATATCTCTGTGAAGATGATGGCAAAATGTCTCTTGCCTGCCTGGCAGGAGAAAGCCATTTAGACAGACTACAAAACAGAGTTGGGGGAGATGGTGTCAAATCAGGCTAAAGGGTCTCTGAATCTCCCTCCTCCTGGGCAAAATCTATAATTGCTAGTTTACCATGTTAGAAACAGTGGTGTTATTGCTGAAGCAAGGCTCTGTGCTCCATCTTTTACAAATCTAGTGGATAAAGGCATTTAAGGTATTAACCACAACCCCACACAGTTGCCTAAAGAACTGGGAAATAAGTCAGCATTTCTGTTGAATTCCTCCCTTGAATCGCATGTTTCTAAGGGTCTTAAACTAGGAGTTGTTACTCAGACTTGGGTTTGCAGATGCCATTGTGGGAGTTGAGTGCCTGGAGCTGGGCATGACAACGTACAGTGTCACACATACCCACAGCCCTTTGGGAATATTGGCCAAGAACCCACCTAAAAACCTATCCACTTAGAAGTCTTCTTTGCTAGAAGAAAGCCTCCTTTGCATAAGGAGCTTTTGGGACTTAACAGAATTAGACATACAGTTTATAACAGACTTCTGGGAAACATGACACAACTCCAGATTAGTGATCACTGAAAACAACTTAATTAGATAGATCCCAGTTTACTCCAAAAGGATTTGAATTTTATGTCAGTGGTATTAGTCGCCCTACAGAGGGCAATATCTCAGGCTTCAGGAACTGACTCCCTATGTGAAATCTGTGAGGATCATTCCACAACAATATGTCTTACATGGCAATCGGTTCACTCCAGCCTGGTCTCCTCAGTTCCTCTCCCCACTTGTCTCTAAACAGCCAGAAAATGATGCCACTCAATGAAATGCCTTTGCCTTCTGAATCTGGAGCATGGTCTGGACACAGGAGAGTTGACTCCTGCTGCCATCGCTTTATGGCTCCGCAGCCCGCAGGTAAATCCCAGCACAAATGATTACTATTATGGCTAACTAAGTCTTGAAAAAGGCTTAAAGCTGTTTCTTAGAAGCTGCTCCTTCATTTGTATCTTATTTGGAATTCAGCTTTGCAGCCCTCCTTCTAAAGGAAGCCTAAAGCAAGCACAAAGTACCTAGCTGGTGCTTGAGCTGCTCTGGTTTTGCCTGCAACCATGACATACTGAGCGATGATCTCACAAGCTGAGCAGGACCTATGCTGACTAGAGAGTATGAAGGAGGACACTTTGAAGAGAAATAGGGTGTTACAAGAGATAATGTGAATAATGCAGAAGGGAGTAGTTACTAATCAGTGATGTCTTTTTCTAGCAGTTAGTGAGAACAGTACACTGTAGGAGACGGCTAGGCAGACTCTTAAAAAGCCACTTCATCAAAGTCTTTGGTTAGAGATCTTAACCCACGACATAATCAAATGCCTCCCTTGAAGTTCCCATGACCCGTTAGAAAAGTCATATGCGAATGAGCAAGTTTCCTGGTTAAATTTCAGTTTGGGTGAATATATTCCTCTTCCTAAACCCTTGCTCCATTTTGAACTGGCAGAAGGAAATGCTATTGTTCTTTGTCCTACATTTATGCTTAGTATTGTTGAACACTGTTGAGAAACTGCCGTGCGGTAGCCCTCTAAGTGCTAAATGTTTTCGAGTGGGAGAACGCACTAACTGGCTGCATTCTGGCAGCGCTCCTGTGGGGCAGTGAGATGCTGCCTTAGGAGCATATGGAAAGCCTGCTGTGGATCTGCACTAAGTGACGATTTAACAACAAACTCTATCATTAGGCATAAGAAGAAAAGCCTCAGAACATGAATGAGCTAAAAGTCCAGTTCTGCAGTCGCTGGCAGAGCCTATTGCTGATTTAATGAAGCTGAAGAATATTCAGAGCCTAAATCTTCACAGTGTGTCAAAGCTACTGTTAGAGAGTTCAAAGGTTTATTATCCAAATAAGGAGAGAAATAAAATCTTGCCATTTTTTTTGTCTGCAAAGCTGTAGATTTCTGCTTGTGCTACTATTGCTTTTGCAGGAATGAATCGTTTCACTTCCAAACAGCTGAGCAGGAGCTGTGCTTGTTATTACAGTAATGCTTTCGAGCACTTGAAGATAAATGAAGTGGAGTGGAGGTTAGGCTCTCCAAATCTTGGTTTGCATAGCTTAATCAATCAGGTAATGGAGGGCACTTGGAAATTTGCAGTGAGAAACTTTTAGACATTGATGAAGATTTCCTCTTTTTGCTGTGAAACAAATGACTAGATAGGGAGCACACATGATGTATTTGATATTACCAATGTGGTCATCTCCGGCTTGCCTGACTTTGCATATTTCCTCTGTCATTCTGTAACAGCTATTAAAATTCTTGTTTTGACAGAGCCTTTGAAGTGGATAATTGGATTCTTTGCTAACGAGGGCCATATATCTTATCATTTTCTATCAGAAGGTAGGACATTTTTGGCATGACTTTCTCAGTAATATTTGATTGCAGTTTCAGGAATTCTGGACGTTTAATTTTATGGATGGAAAGCAGCAAGTAGGTCTCTGCGGAATGAATGTTTTGCCTTAACAAGTTATGTGGCAAATATTAACAAGTAAAGAAATGTATCTAACCAGACATACAGCTCATGTCCGCTGTCACACACATGACAGAATTCCTCATTTTCAATGTATGAGCTGCAGGTGCAGCCAAAAAGGTGGAAGTTACACTTGATTTTCGAGTGAGCCAAAGAAAGGTGTTCTACCACTAGCTGTAGTTACAAGAATTACATTCTTCTATTGATTAGTATCATCTTGCCACAACGTTGGTATCGCTGATGGCTGCTGTCATATTAATGAAGATAACATTTAGAATTGAATTAGTCTCTAATGAACTTCCAGAACGATAGCAGTAACTCTCATAAGTAATATACTGCATCTGTTCCTTTAGCCCGAGGCCATCTTATATATAATTGGCAATGCAAATTATGAAACCCAGTTTTATGAACATTATGTGTATTCCCATTTACAAGATCAGTCCTATTTTCAGGTAGGTAGAAAGTGGAACCACATATTCTCTGCTATTCTGCTATTTTACTATTCTCTACTTACTGTAATGTAAAAAATTTCTCCTTTCTTACCAGAAATATAGTTACTATTTTAGGGTATTACAAAAATAAGACATAATATTATGTCTCAGAAAACTTGCATTTATTCCCTTCTCACTTTTTTTCTTTAATAAAGACAGCAAAAAAGGAAAAGACAAAACACAGACAGACTAAAATTACTGAAATTACATGTTTGCTTTGACAAAAAATGTACTAACACCACCCTTAAGGATTCAGTTAAGAAAAAAAAAGGAGCAGTAAGACAAACTGTGAGACATGAAAATAACATTTCAGAATGCTACTGTTTGGGCATGCTACAATTGTTTTTTGTTGTCTTTGAAGTAAAAATATTAAATTCTAAAATATGAAGTTATGTTTTGTAGAGTATGTATGGATGAACAGCCTTAAACTCTCCAAGAATGGTCAGATACGGTGACTTACCAGATTTTGCTGACAAAGCCAATAAAATTGCTGGAATTTCTGAGACATGAGGAGCTGAGCGCTTCCAACAGCACTTCGGATCTTACCTAGGACTAAACATACAGATAGGTTATTACCAATAGAAATCTTCTGGTGGTAGATGCAAAATCCAGCTCAAAAATACGTAGCTGAAATTACATTTTGTTTTATAAAGGAAGTAAATATTTGGCTTTGTTTCTTGTGATTATATATATAAAATATTTTTTTAAAAAAATAGAGATATAGGAAAGCTCTGTGGCACCTCACCCTTTGCCAGTAACAAATATTATATTAATAATTCAGAACAGCTAAGAATGTATTTGCTTAAGGAAGTAGAAGAAAAAAAGAGAATATAGACGACTTCCTGAAGTGGGCATACATACATATGTTCTTGAGAACAATCTTAAATTTCAAAGTAAATGACACCTCTCTCCTTTATACTTGCTCACGTAAATTGGAAGCTGCTGAAATAGTTTTTCCTCAAGAACCAGTTAGATGCCTGATGTTCTCACTGACGTCAAATGGAGCTTTAAATACATTTTAGATAGTATCTTCTGGTTCTGCAATCACAGATCACTTCAGTCAATTGTGTGAATGATCCCTGGGTGAGCTCTCTTTATCCTGTCAGTTCTGGGGGTAAGGTTAATACACTAAACTACAAGATAAGATACTCCTACCATGATCCTCAGCGGAATCATGACTCTGAGAGACATGTCTTGGTACCCCCATTAGGAGGTACAGGTTGCCTGCCAGGAAAATACACAAAGTCCTAAGCACGGGAGCCTCAGAAAAAGGGGTAGACAAGTGGGTGCTCCAGGACTTTGCTGAACCAGGATCAGCCCCCATGGTTTGCTGGGCTTCCCCCACTGCCACTGTCCCTGCCGTTCACAGTGCAGAAGCACTGGGGAAAGGGACCCAAATTCATTTCACTTGACTTTTGTTTTCAAAAGTCATCTGTCTAAATCAAAACTTCTGGATGCTCTATAGTCAGTAGTATGAGCTCATCTGCTCAGTCATGTTAGGAGCTTATTTTCAGATGAGCTGAATCTCTTCCTGGAGATGCCTATTTCCTTCTCTTGACTGGAGTGCCTAAGGCAGACTGGCTTATCCCTAGGAAGCTAACTCCTCCTGGACTCCCACATTTGCTGGGATAAATACCATACGTTGGTAAGTAGCAATGTATTTTCCTACACCTCCTTCCTACACATCCTTTCCTCCACATCTATCTCTATGCTGAAAAAGCAACACTCTAAAAAGCTTTATAAGCTGGGGTTTCAATGGAAGATTGATTTTATCTGGAGAATTTCCAGATCTTTAAATAATGTTTAGGGTAAAGAGAGAGCATGGTAGGGGTGAGACAGGAATTACTCTTGACTCCTTGTAATTCAATTTGAGGAAACCAAACTGATCATTCAAACAGGATGCAGAGAGTGGGATGATGCCAGAGTAGTACAGCAGAACTGATCTACAGCCTGTGATACAAAAAACCATTAAACTCTGGCAGGGCTTAAGGTTTTGGTGTTATTTAGAATAAGAGGGGACGGAGTGGCATGTGAAAACAGTACTTTTGTAGTAGGTATTGCATTTTAATTCTGCATTCTCTAAACCAGTGAAACACCTGCTTAACCACAAGCAGCAGCAAGAGATAATTAGGAAGTTTTAGGCTCCAGTTCTGTGGAAACATCCGAACTATGTAACTTTGAAGGCATATGTCAATATGTAGAACTGTGGTTCTCAAACTCTATTCCTTTTTCTGTTAGACAAGCAGTACAGCTGTGCCACAACACTAAATTAAACAGCATTATGCACAATTCATCAGTTGTGTGCCAGCCATTTGTGAAAGGGTTAAGTGGTTCAGGACTGCATGTGTAATTCGCTGGGGTTTTGTTTTCAGTTGCTGGCCAAATGAAATAAAGCATTTTAATTGGTTTGGGGGTTTTCGTCACCACACACCTCACTTTCCTCTAAGGAGTTATTCACAGATGAAAAGCAGTATTTGGGGTGTTAAAACCAGAATAAATGTAGGAAAAAGGAATAAAATAATAAATGTTTCATTTGATCTGAAATGAATTGCTTTAATTTGGTTTTCAGCATTTTTAATAAAGGCAAAGACTTAAGTGACAAACAGCCTTCTACCCGCCTTTTCGCTTGGTGCTCAGGACATAGGACAAACTCCCAGTGTTAGGTCTGAATACCTTCTTTGCCAGGATGGGGAATTGTGCTGTAGCAGGTCTCTGACATCACCTATTCCGTGCTACATTCAACTGTTCACTGGACAGAAGGAGAGTGAGGACGATTCTGTAGGCTTATGATTGTAATGCTTGTCTCATAGTGAGTAAAGTTCAGTTTTAGTTTCCTCTGCTGAATTTTATACCTCGAATACACAGCCTGAGTAAGGGGCATTGGTTTTAGCCCTACTGCAGAAATGTAGATCTTAACAGAATTTAGATACGGCTGATATTTTCTCGTGAATCTCACAGTTACCCCAACCCTCATATATCTTCATTATCCTGAAAGACCATGTCAAAAAGCACTGCTGATTTAAAGCCCAGTCAGACCAGTCAAGGTTCAGGCACTGGCAATGCAGAATTTTGGTGCAACACACATCCTTCGGGGATGGGGAATGGTGTTTCTGGGCTTCTTGCATGTGTCACAGTGGTGAATACACATGTATAATTACAGTCTGACCATTTGCTACAGATCGAACTCTATTCCCATTTCAGTAAGTAAATCAGATGTAATAAAAAGTAGAAGTTAGAATCTCTCATATTCATGCTACTCTGCTTTGCTGTAATTAAATTAAAGTATTAAAACACTTCAACTCATAATCTTTAGCACAATATTAATAGACAGCCAAAGCCTTGTTATTAATTTCATGCATTGGGGAATTATTCTGATGAGTGCAGATTGATTATCTCCATGAAAGAATGAAAAATGTTAGAGACTGGAGAGATTGAGATGTTTGGTGATGCCTAGAAGATTTTGCTTGTAAGTAAATGATGATAAAACCTACCAGCTTGCATAAATATACATAATTTTCATATAATCCATATACCTCCCTCCATCAGGATGTTATATTTATTCAAATGTCAGTAAAGAGTCACACAACCTTAATTCTGCTCCCTGAGGCACATGAAATACTCCGCGTTTTGTTGTGTGGTCCTGTATTGCTTCTACTCTGAAAATGTACAAAACCCTGACCATGACTTCAGTAGAAGTAGACTCAAGTTTTATACCCTGGACAGGTTGTGTAAATTGCCGGGATACAACATGTACAATTAACACAACGTTGTCTTTTTTCCCTGCACTATACATATTACAAAATTGCAAATAAAACATATGTGATTTATTGCTTGAGAAACGCTACAAGATCTCATAACTGAAAATGGTTTTCTATCAAAGGCAGAGGGGGAAAAGTGAGATCTACATTGATGAAACCAAGATTATAGTCTGATGCTGTAACTCTATTCTTGACAGGTAAAAAGCTTTGCCTAATTGTGCCACTGCTGTACCAGCAATGAGAAACTACTAACAATCATTCTGCTTCTGGCATTCATTACTGTTTATTTAAATTATGTGTTTTAATTTAAATTTTCATTCCATTTGATTGTTAGTCTTTTTCTATGCTCATAAATAAACGGCTCTACAAGCAATCAGAGAAAATATACCCGGAAAAAATATTGAACCCGGCATTTAGTTCATCCTCCTAACTCAGAGCAGGGGATATCTGTCTAATATCTAAATCTAAATCAGAAATATATCTCTTTTTCACTATCAACACAGCAAATAGGCATAGTAATAAATGTGTAATGTTCAGAGTGAGATGACATTTTAGGACAGCACAGCTAGAAGTTGGCTGGAGAGTGGTAGGGCAATGGGGTCCTTGTGCACCGAGTAGGACTTGGTGCAAATTTGCTTTTTACCTAAATGGATTCAAAGAGGAGAAAATTCAAGCAGAATACAAATGCTAGAAGGAAATTTTGGATTCCACACTATAGGACTGTCTTTTATTGGCTTTAAAGGCTGTTTCAGGTTAATTAAGACATTCTGTAGTCATTCACAACACTCCCAATGTAAATTTCAGTGGTTGCTGAAGAATGGGTTTGTGGAAAGCATTAGGAAATTATGTCAGTAATTTCTCTTTGGTTAAAGGATAACCTAAGAAAGCTTTTATGGATGATTAATTGATGAATATACTAAAATAAATTGGTTGTGAGGTTGGTTTTTTTTTTTCCAAATTATGGGAGATTTAACTCTGTATTTTCTGTTACTATTTGGCCACGTTAGTAAAAGCCCTTGCAGTACTGTGGAAATTGTTGGACTTGATCTTAAAGGTCTGGACTCGGTGATCTTAAAGGTCTTTTCCAACTTAAATGATTCCATGATTCTAAGTATCAGCCAGAGGATTAGCAAGGAAAAATCCAGCACCCATAGAATGAAGGGGTAAGGGGGGAAAAGGGTGATATTGAGCTCTCACTCTCTTTGTTTTTACACTAGAGGTCACTTGATTGTGTGGCTGTGCCCGCAGAGCTCCTAACCATGATGCAGGTTACACCTGCAATACTGCCGTCATAGTTTATAGTTAATTTTTTTTCACCATTCTTGGGATTTTTACATGAGATCAAACTCTGCGCGGCTCTTCTTGTGCACTGAAATATTTCAGTTTCCATGTGGTGTTCAGAAACCCGGGGTGTCTTCTGTTTCCCTCTGCCAGAGCTTGCCTACCAGCTGTGGGCAGGGGCTGCGGCTCCCCCAGGGCTCGCCTGTGCTGGTTTCCCTGCTCCCACCGCAGAGCTCATGGGCGGCAAAGTCCCGGCCCTCTTGCTCTTCAGGAGCTTTGTGACAATCGAGAGCATTTTTCTTGTCATCACCTACCCAGCAGTAATAGCCAAATGCAATTTTCAGGGTGTAAAACTGAAGCTCCAGTCAGCACCCTGGAGAAACACGTCTCTTTGCTTGATGGCACCCTGCTAGTGCGAATGAGCAGATGACTTACCCTGGGAACAGTGACAGCCACACGTATAAATTTTGTATATATGCCTCTATATGTTACAATGAACACTGAGAACACAAATAACTGCCCCCACAAACAATGTATGAACTTTGCAGAGACTCCAAAATATAATTCATGGAAACTGACCAAACAAACAAATTCTGTGAAAAGAAAGAGAGAGAGGTTATTTTTGCTGCAGTGATTATCTTCTCCTTTCCTAAGACGTGATAGGTAAAGTTCTTAAAACAACATTATTGGAGAAAAGCTACAGTGAAAGAAAAAAATCAATACAGCAATCAGACAGCTTTCTGTGATCTCAGGGCTACCGTGTTAACACCGAAAACAAAACTGTTTTCTAAAATGCAGTGCTGTTTTAACTCTTCCTGTGATTAAAACAAAATAGAAATGGTATTATAAAGACAGGCTTCTCCTGTGAGATGCAAAGCCATATTTGGTCTTCAGGTACAATTAATATACCCAGGCCAAAAATAAATGATTCAGCATTAACAATGACAGTTTGAATGTGCTAACTTTGCTGTGAAGTGTTTTGGGAATAGTAACTCCTGTTGGAAGAGAGAAAAACATATTTAGTTGCTTCTGCCTCGTCCATTTGCGTATATTTTCTTCAGGGAACTGTCAAATGCTGAAATACGTCAAGGTAAGATTCATGCTGGGATATCATTAAACTTTAGTTCTCGTGGATACACACTTTTCAACCTCCATAGCTCAAACTGGGGATAAAAAATATGTCAAAGACTCAAGAGGGAAAAAATTATTCACATTGAAATTTTAAAATGCTGTGAAGCTAATTCCCTTGATGAAAATAATTCTTCGATAACTTCTTTTTACTTGATGTAAGCTATGGTAGGTGAAGGGATACCATTTCCAAGATAATGTAATTTGGAAATTAGTTGATGAAAAACTCTTGAAATGAATCACATAAAATGGAAAATCAGAAGTCTGGGTGTCCCTTTTGACAATCAGCTGAAGACAAGAATATCCTATTAGAGAATATCCTATATAGACCTATTCTATGATAACTTCTCTAATGTATTAGGGAGGTCAAAATATTCTCCCAAACACAAATGATTAATCCACTTTGGTTAGCTTAAAAAAGGGATTTTAAGGGTCCATTTCCATTGTATTTAAGTAACTCCATATCCAGGAATTGCTCTTTCCTTTTCTCTTACAGAGTAGAATCACTCTGCAAGCAGGGAAACGTAAAATCCTGATACTCAGGGTTTTTTTCTGACTCAAATGTTCTAGCTTTAAAGGGTGTCACTAACTCAAATATTAATAAAAATTACCAAAGTCCAGTTTTTCTTCATGTTCTCCGTACAATTTACTGAAAACTATCTCCCTAAGTGCCATTTCCCTGCGCAGCAAGGTTTTTCAGAGTATTTCTTGAGTGTGAGAGCATGGCTTCACACAGTGGGAGGCAGGGTGGTTCTGCACCTGGGAAAAGGGCAGTCAGCTAAAATCAGGCTCCTCCAAGTTTTCCTGATGTAGTAGGCAGCTTCATATCCCAGTGAGTAATGCTGCTAACTCCCTCCCTCCCTGAGTCTTAGAGTAAGGAAGGAGTACTGAGGTGAGGGTGTTTCCACTGCTCATCTCATGCGGTTGCAGATTTGATGAGGGCTGTGCATGAGGAAGAGCTTGCAGGGAGAGAAGGGAGAAGACCACTCCGTGCCCGAGGATTCCTCAGTGACCTTCCAAGGAAGGAGAGGGGCTAACTGCCTGTGTGTTTCTCCCCTTTGCTCCCTAATACTTTTACTCTTTACAAGGAGATTAAAGTCTTGCTCTTTGAACTTCTCCATCAGGTCATAATCACTGACGTCCCCACATCAATAACAGGCATCCTTGGATGCTTAATGATGGCAGAGAAATGTTAGCATTCAGCAGCACAAAGACTTGTGGAATCGAAAAATAAGATGTATATGGTAAAAAAGAAGCATTAAAAAACAGCCATTATGAAAGAAGGCTCTGAAATCCTCACACAGGCTAAGCACAGCAAAATGTTTTATTATTCATATTTTAACAGCCCCTAGGAGGGTATTAAAGTCTTCAATGTGTCAATGCAAAGGGAAAATTCTCAGCTCAGCTCTGCCCTGATGAAAATAAAGACAAAAACCTACACTCCAGAAAGCACTGGAGGATGTAGGAAATAAAACAGCCTTAGGCTCTCCCCCACCCCAAATCTTATATTGTTACTTTGCAGACTTGTGCACAATATAGTGGAGAAATATGACTCTAAAATAAAAAATGATGAGGTGAAAACATAGACATTCTTTCTTTTGAAAAGGTCAGTGCAAGAAATAGAAATTGGCCTCTTAGTCACCAAGCAGGCCTGGCCCAAGATCTGAGGGTAGATCATAGCAAGAACTCATTGAGGACGAAAGAAGATGATCGGGAAAGTGTATTTGGATGCGACGGTGAGATTTGTGAGAGTGCAGGAAAAGATGCTAGGAAGAAGACTTAATATGAGCTAATTTGTGTTCTGAGAAAATTTCATCTGAGACAATAATTCAGATTGGCAGGGATTGAAATATTTATAAAACTAAGCCTGAAGAACAAGGATAATTGACCTCAGAGGGAATCACAGGGAGCTGGCTACTGAGTGCTAGGACCACTTTGATATATTACTATCATTAGTGCTGGCTTGGATCTTGTTCCAAAATAGTCTACGTTATTTTTCACTTTATCCCATCACTCCTTTCAAGGTGTCCACAGGACATGAGAGAATAATAATGATTCTTGACAAAATTGTAACAGAAAAACCAGCAGAACTATCTAATAGTGCATGTGCCTGTGCAACTGCAGAAGTGCTTTAACTATTGTTCTTGCCTACTCATTTCTGTTCTTTCAGCAGACCCTGTATGATAGGCAGGAGTGCCTCTAAAGGAATGAAAACATTTTAAAAATGAGAAGGCTCTGAGGGGACCTTAGAGTGGCATTCCATTACCTGAAGGGGGCCTACAAAAAAGGAAAGCTGGGAGGGACTGTTAACAAGGGCACGTGGTGATAGGACAAGGGGCAATGGTTTTAAACCAGAGCAGGGTAGATCTAGATTAGACATTAGGAAGAAGTTATTTGCTGTGAGGGTAGTGAGGCACCGGAATGAGTTGTCCAGAGTTGTGGATGCCTCCTTGGAAGTGTTCAAGGCCAGCCTGGATGGGGCTTTGAGCAACCTGGTCTAGTGGGAGGTGTCCTTGCCCATGGCAGGGGGCTTGGAACCGGACAATCTTTAAGGTCCCTTCCAATCCAAATCATTCTATGATTCTATGATTTTATGACTGTTTGTTAATAAAAGGCAAATTCTGCAGTTTCAGGAAAACAGCAAAAAAATGTTCACGCAAGACCACCTTGTGTGCTCTAGCAAAGGGTCAACCACTGGAGTGGGAAGAATATGTCAAGAGTTCGAGCTGTGGGTGAAAGATCTGAGCCATATCTCATACCAGACTTTGATCCTACACTTGACTCTACACTTAGCTTCTCAACTACTTCTGCAAAACCTTACTCTGAGAAACTCTAGCTTGCACAGCCAGTTTCAGGAGAGGGGTCTTATATCTAATGGTTCTGCAGAGTGTCTTTGGTACTACAAAACGAGTAAGGAAACCCACAATTTTATCCTAACAGATTTCTTATTTTAGCTGACATCTATAAGAATAGATACTGAAATGTTCTTACTTTCTTCAGAAAGATCATTTTCTTCTGCTTCTCTTTCCATTTCTTTACACCATCCTTCCATTCTCTTAGTTTCAGTGTGTAGCAACTTCATAAACCAAGATCCGTCCCGTCGACAAGGAGACATTCGACCAGTCTCTACCGTCTCAATGGCTGGCTCTAGCCAGGGTTCTGGTGGTGGAAGGTTTGAGGTGTCAACTGGGGTCCTATAATCTTCTCTGTAACTGAATAGTCCCTGTGTCCGTACAGTTCTCACTGCGCTGTATTGGGTGGGCGTGCTGGGCTCTGAGTGCTGCTGGAACGATGAGCCAAACTGAAGTCCCTTGTCCTCCATGGTGATGTGTCCTGGAAAGCCCTCCAGTTCCAGGTCAGCCTGGACAGCTGCTGTTACACTGTTTGAGCGCTTGAATCGTCCATGTCTTGGTAAGAGGGAAGAAAGAAAGGGGATTAAGACATATAAGTACATATGTGATTATACAGAGGCAGGGAATAATGTTCCAGTGAATGGATTTTGGTTTTCTCCTTGGACTTTACGTTAAAAAATTTTCTTTGTGTATATCTCACTAAAACAAGACAGTAAGTAGCAACAGAGAGGAAAAACAAAATGCATAGTGGCATCATTGATCTGAGCAAAGATACAAAAGAAAATCATTTAAATTATCTCTGGAAGCAAATATCGATTTATTCTCATACAGCAAAATACCATGCATCATTACTAAATGAACTGGAAGTAACTAGCAGATCTGAAGGGTTACATCTCCTGATGGAAGTCTGTAAAGTACATGTATAAAAAAATATTCAAATATAAAGAATTGTTATTAGATATAACCTGAAAATCTCCTAAATTAGGACTGTTGAGAATCCTCTAATAAATGAAAAATAGTAGCATCAAGCTTAAGACTGTGGTAGTTTTTACTTTTCTCATAGAATAGCCATTAAATGCTGATTTTCTATTGTGATAGGCCATCAAATAATGTCATTTTGGAAAGGCTTTATGTTGAAAAGTTAGAGAAGCAAAGCATATTTGTGAAATCTTTTAACATCTGAGCCTATTGTTTCAAATTACTTCTAGTCAGTGATAGTAAAAGGCAATTAGCAGCCAGATACTGTCTGACAGCTGCTGTGAAATGAAATAACGGTTCCTGTCCAGTACTTAACAGCCAGTGCCTGTTAGGGATAACCTGTGGGTTAGTACATTGGTCAGTAGTTATACAAAGCCAGAGAACAACTGTAAGAGCTGATTCTAGTTTCTGATAAAGGTACCGTGGGTTACACTGCAACCATTATATCCCCCTGTGTGGACTGGGAAAGGCTGGAGCAGTGTGAGGGGTCCTATCGAAGGAAAAGTATTCCTGTACGTGGTTCTCTGTATTTGTCCTGCAATAATGAAATTATATTAATCCACTACTTCAGTTCAAAAGTTTCTCTTCCTTCCCTCCAACTTAAAATGGGAAAGCTCATTAAATATTAAGCAACTGCTAAGTAATCTCTGCAAATTTTACCAAATGACCAGCATGAACACAAGAAATTTGGCTTTGTGAATTATTTAGGGGCAGCACTTGCCAGATGTGTGTTATTAACTCCGTTTACAAATGTGCATTGTGTTATGAAAGACTATAGATTTTTGTACATGCTTGAATTACCGTTTTTCATCTTCCACTTGTACTCCAACAGAGTGGTATTCCCGTAGGCCTCTGCTTTCAGTATCTGAATCAGTTGCTGTTTCCACCTAATTCAACAAAAAAGACACGTCTGCAGAGTGAGCATCGACATCTCAGCACTTCTTCTACCTGCACCCATTCACCATTAATTATATATTTCCTCTCTTCCTGCTACACCTAGCACAGTAAAATAAATGAAACAGGTATTCAGCCTGGCATCGTTGCTTCGGTGCTGTGTTTTATAAAGCTTTAAGTACTTCTGTTCTGCTGTGTAATTCTCTATTTCAAACCTAAGCAGATGTAATTACCCGCTCAGTGGAAGCAGGGAGTAAGCCTGGTCTGGACAAGCTGTTCTTAGAATGAGGAATCCACAGGATAGCCCCTTTTTTTATTATTATAAAGCAGTCTCTCATTATATCCCTTGATTTACAAAATAGAATAAAATCTTAAGTAGCCCGATAAACTTGCAAGCAATAAAAAGAAATGCTGCAATGAAATTTTATCGACAACTGCGTTGACAAATATAGAACCATTTAAATGACGTGAAGGATACAGCAGAATGCCATATCTCACCTTTTTTTAATAACATGGTCCTGAAAATGCTATATCAAGCAAGTAATTTATGCACTTTTTATAGTATTCCCATCTGAAATACACTTACTGAAATATATTCACAGTAGAGTTTTCTTCATAACCGAGACCACATTGCTTTTGCAAGTTTCTGTGGGACTTTATGTAACACTCCTCACCACCACACCGCCCCCAAGTCTTTGACACAGACATAAGGAGTGCTGCAGTATGCAAATTGCACTGAATCAAAGGAGAGTCAGGAAAAAAGAAAAAGAATAGAACTCACTTTTCCTTTTGAATGATATTTTCACTGTTAAATAAAAAAAAAATATCTGCAACCAGTTTTTCAGCATGCACACTCCATGTGTGAATTCAAAGGGTATATCTTATAATGAAGATGAGAACTTTTCCCCTTGCAGCAGTCCCAGGCACCTACAGGAGCCCTATAGCCTGTGCATAGGAAATGTGATCTCCTGAGCATTTCCAGTCTGTTGTCCGGGTAGTGGAACAGGCAGGAGACAGGCAACTGTCAGGGAATATCAGTGGATTTCATCATGGTCTTAGAGAGACTTAGGAAAGATAGATAGATACCTGGTAGTGTTGATGTCAGGTTATGGGAACATTCAGTTTCATGTATTCTCAAAAAGGAAGCATGAAGGTCTGAGCTGTGACAAAAGACAGAAGACAAATCTTCTGCAGAGTAAGTGTTCAAAGGGAACGCAGTGGAAGGTAACTATGCAAGAGGGTTCTAACTTCACAGTGTCGAGTGATGAGGGTAGCATTTCTTGGGGCAGTGACACAGGGAACAGGGTCTTCCTTTTATATCTCCTGCCTCAGAAGTTGGAAATAGAATGCACAAAACTGCCAATCTGGACATTATGGACAGCAGGTACTCAGAATGATTTTTAGGCTGTATCTCTCTCCTAATAGAAGCAGGAGAAAACATCAAAATGCCATAACAAGTTAGTCCAAGGTGAAAGACGAGACTGGGTCTTTGTGCAGAGCCTCACATGGGCTTCTGACAAGCTCTAATGATGGTGTAAAGGACAGTCACAGTATAACTGATCCTGAATGGCACTCCCAAGGCATGGAAAGAGTCACTGACTGTTGGGGTTTTAGGGGCTTCTTCACACCAGGCAAGACGCCAATTCTGATGGCATGAGGATATCAGTACACTTGGTTTGCTGTGTACCACAGTTAAGACTGTGTTGGACAACCGACATGGCTTCACTAGTGCCTGACAGATTTGGTGGCCTTCTATGAAGGGGTTACAGCACTGGTAGATAAGGGAAGAGTGACACCATCTACCTGGGCTCGTGGAAAACAGTTGATACTGTTCCATGTGACATCCTTGTTGCTAAATAGGAGAGACACGGATTTGATGGATGGACTTAGTGGATACAAAATTGGCTGGATGGTTGCACTCAAAGAGCAGTGAAGACGAGTGGTAAGTGGCGTCCCTCGGGTGTCTGTACTGGGACCAGTATTTTTTTTAATCTTTGTCAGGGACATGGACAGTGGGACTGAGTGCACCCTCAACAAGTTTGAGCATGACACTAAACTGCATGGTGTGACTGACAGTCTAGAGAAAAGGGACGTCATGGAGAGGAACCTTGACAGGCTTAAAAGGTGGGCCCGTGCAAACCTCAGGAAGTTCAACAAGGCCAAGTGCAAAGTCCTGCAAATGGGGTGAGGCAGTCCCAAACATGAATACAGGCTGGGTGATGAGTGGATTGAGAGCAGTCCTGCAGAGAAGGACTTGAGGATGCTTGTGGATGAAAAGCTGGGCATGAGCTGGCAATGTGTGCTTGCAGCCCAGAAAGGCAATTGCATCCTGGGCTGCATCAGGAGAAGCGTGGCCAGCAGGCTGAAGGCATTACAAGCCTAAAGGTTTGACAAGGGCAAAAAGGTTTGTGGGTGGCTAGGCTGAAGAAGCTGAGCAGATGGGAACACAAGATTCACCAGGGCCTCCTGCTCGTTCACATGGCTCAGCATGGAGGGACAGGACATTGCATGCCAGACCAGACCCGAGCTGAAGCCAGAGAAAAACATCACCCCACATGTCAGTCTTTTCCTTCTAAAGCACTGCATGGAGTAATACTCTTAGGATGACCATGTCTACAGCCTGTGCTCCTTTGGACATGCTGAACGAGTCCTGGGGGATGAGGTGGAGGCCAGATTGCTGGACATGGAAACAGGCTAAGGAAGGCCAATGTTACACTTGCGGGTCTAACGTAACACCTAGTAACACTGTGGAGAAGTACAATGGTCAATGGACAAAGAAAAGACTTTGGCCTTCCACTCGGATGTCTCAGCAGCTTAGACATAGTTCTGTTGAAAATATAATGCCCTAAAGATAGGAACAAGGAAAGGTCCCTACAGACAACATCAGTTTGGCCAGCTGATGTTGGAACAAAGCGGGCACACACTTTTCTTCCGCATTGCGTATCAAGAGCATACCTAGTTTTGCTAACTACTGTTGTTTGGTTTATTAACATAACATGTTGCCTTTTGAATTTTACTTCTGATGTGTGGAGGCAGATTTCCCTTTCATATTTTGGATGCGCTGTTATCTTTTTATTGATGCAAAACACAAAGAAAAAGTCTTTCCTATCCACCCTTTTTCAAGTGCTTTCTTACTGGCATTTCACCTAGAAGTTGTTACTAAATGATTTGCCCAATGTGCAATTGATGCCTACAATTTACAGGCGTAAATGAAGTAATCTACTCTAAAATTTTATTCAAAACAAAATTAGCAGGAAAATGATGGCCCAGGTATCAAAATAAAAATTACATTAGTTACCTCTAAATATAAACTCTTGCCAGATTATCCTTCCCTCCAGCTTGCCAAGGCTGACACTGACTAAATGACCTGATGATTGCCTTCATATTTTAATACTTTCATTTCCTCACTGCGCCTTATAACAGCAGGAGAACGCATTTTTTTTTTTTTTTTTAGTGTGTGTGCAATCTAGGATTGCAAATATTGTAACAACTAACAAAAAAAATGGATCTGGAAAATGGACGCAAATGCCAACACAAGTAAAAGTGGGAAATAACAAAATAATTTTCATACACAAAGAAACAAATGAACAAATAAATTGCATTTCTGAATGACAGATATTATAAAGGCTCCTGCTAGAAGACAGCAGGAAACTCTTTAGATTTAATCAGATTGGCCAGGCTAGATTCAAATGAGCAGAAGAGAAAAAGTAATATGTTCAGTTTGACTGTGTGGCTTCTGAAACTCAAATAGGTCTTAATAAAACTGTTGTTATTCTCCATGATTTATTATTGTTTTAATACTTGCATGGGTTCTAAAAGCTTAGTATTTGCAAATTGGCCCACAATTGCAGTAAAGAAAATAATGTGACAAATCATATTTCTGGTTCTGAGAGACTCCCATACAGAAAAGAAGAGAAAAAAAAAGCCAGACACTGACCAAAAGCAGACGGTAGAAGAGGAGTAGATCTAATATAGCAGGTCGTCTTCCTCTCCTTGCAAACAAAGAACTACAACTTCCTTGAAAATCTGGCACTTTATGCCATGAAAAATATTGTTTTATAGCATGCCTATGGGGCTTACGATACTAATAGTAAATGCAATAGAATATTTAGAGATTATTTCTATCTTATTTGTCTTCCCTTTCATAAAGGCCTAACACTCCCCTCCCCACTTTTTGCTGCCAATGCAAGGATCAGAATCCTCTGTGATCAGTCCCTGCTGACTGATTCAACTCAAACATTGACAACTAAGTATCAGATATTGGCACTGACTTGGTAATAAATGGTCCCCAAATAAACTATACTAACACAAAATTATTTGAATAAATGCAAATCACTATTGCAAATAACTGGCTCGTTATAATCAATCGTGGTTTGTTTATAAGCACTCATACTAGAAAAGGATGCATGGACTCAATTTTTCCACCAAGGAATTTACTGGATCTTTTTAGCTGGTAATTTTAAAAGCAACCTTAATTTCATTATTGAAGTATTATTCTGCTCTTAAACATGAGCAATGCAACATAACATTGTAGTGTCCTAAAAATTCCAGTCTAAGCTTCTATACATACTGTCTCCAAGGAAGGCTTGAAGTTAATATATTCAATGCATAGGAAAACAGATTTTAACATGGTGTTTCACTTCTCTCTCATAAGCATCAGTAATAAGAGTCCTTCAGGCCACATTATCTCTCCCCACGCAACTTCACTGCCCTCAGTGGGTTTTCACTGCTGTTACCAATTTGTTCTATAATTAGAATTTAATAAACGATCTCTCTGATGATGCACAGGAAGGGAAATAATTCACCTTTCCTCTCTTGCATGGGCTTCTTAGTGATAACAAGAGTAAAAAAGGGAAGAAAACACTACATTTGACACTAGATCAAGTATGTGTAATTGCGAATGCAGATAACCATTCCTAGGTACAGGGAGATCTCATTTGTATGCTGAGACTTCAAAGTGGGAAAAATACTTCAAATAAAACTACAGGACTAACTGTTACTGCTTTCCTTAACTGATGGAAAACTTTTATCAGCCCAAAAAACATCTACTCTTTCAAAATAATTTTTAGAAACCCACCAAAATAAACTTACACTTCCATGCCTGACTTAAATTTTCTGCCTCACTACAGGGCTCCAATTTGCTACTCCACTACTTCCCAGCAGAACATCTCCCAGCAGAACATCAGGACCACTCGAATACCTGACTCTAAAGGTCATAGCATCATAGAATGTCAGGGGCTGGAAGGGACATCTAGAGATCATCTAGTCCAATCTCCCTGCCAGAGCAGGATCGCTTAGGGCAGCCACATAGGAACGCGTCCAGGCAGGTTTTGAAAGTCTCCAGAGAAGGAAACTCCACAACCTCTCTGGGCAGCCTGTGCCAGTGCTCTGTCACCCTCACAGTGAAGAAATTTTTTCCTTATGTTGCGGTGCAACTTCCTATGTTCTGACTTAAACCCCTTATTCCTTGTTCTATGTCTGGGCACCACTGAGAATAGATTGTCTCCTTCCTCTTGACACCCACCCCTCAGGTATTTATGTACCTTAATAAGGTCCCCTCTCAGCCATCTCCTTTCAAGACTAAACAGCCCCAGTTCTCTCAGTCTCTCTTCATAGCAGAGTTGTTCAAGTCCCTTAATCATCCTTGTAGCTCTGCATTGGACTCTCTCTAGTAGGTCACTTAATGTCTCCACAGAGGTGTTACCAAACTTTCACTGACTTCTGCAGGCCAAGGACTTCATGCACTTCTCTCTCAGAAGCACAGGCTGACAGAGATTTTAGTAGGAAACTAAACAATGCTTACCTCTAGAACTTTGGACCATTTGTGATCCAAGGGCCAGTGTAGCCAATGCAAATATTTCTTTTGATTGCTATGTGTACACCGAAATAAAGCACTGACAGTGACAGTATAACCTAAACAGTACAAAGAAAATGTAGATGTGCATGCAAAACGCTTTGCCTTAAAGGGAAATTCCAGTTTGAGACTGCAGAGTTTCTTGAACAAAGTTTTTGCCATACGATGCTGATAATTTCATTAAATTTATATATAAATATTATGCAGAATTCTGCTTTTGACACAAAAAATTAGGCAGGCACTATTCCTCCTGAATATAGATTTTAATTTATAAGAATGATTTTTTAAATGAAGATTCTAGAGATTAAAAAAACCTCTAGATATTTTGAAGCGTGATCTCCTGGTGATAAATGAAAATGACAGGGTCCATTCTCTATGCTACAATTAGTGCTCATCTCCAAAAATACCGTAATGAATCATCCGCCACACTTAAAACATTTGTTTTCATCTCATCTACTTCCGGGCTTTCTGTGCGTTTTGAGGAGCCTTGAGGTCTTTTAAACAAAGAAGAAACACAGGATGGCATGTTTTGAAATAAATAAAGAGTAATTTCTTGACATGCTTTCTCATGTATTTTACAATCCACGTACTTTTAATATGAAATGGTTTATAACTAGAGCAGTTTTTGAATGTTAATCATTGGCTTATACACAAGAGTGTGCAAAAGAGCAAGGAAAATCTCTGAAAATGTCTTAGCAATAAGATTACTAATTCTTGACTTAGTGGTTATATTACTCTAAACAACCTCTACCCTCCATTTTAATTCAAATACTTTGATTAGTTTTCTGCTGTCATGACAGAAGATAGATATGAAGACCATACTACTAATATTACTGAAGTTCTATTTTTTCTATATATATTCTTAAGAAAGATGCCTAAATTTTTAGTCCCAGAATTTTGCAATTCATTTGAATTTAGGAATCAACTTTTTTTTTTTCCCCAGTGACTCCTTACATATCTGACAATACTCTTCTCGATTTAAATATTGCAGTGATTAAAAAAACAAAAAAACAAAAAAAACCCCACAACTCACCACAATCTATTTTCTGGAAAAGGTTTGTTTCTGAGGCTTTTTTCTTTTCTTTTCTTTTCTTTTTTTTTTTTTTTTACTAGAACTCCCATCTGGGACAGGGCTGTGCCATGGGTTACCATATCCATGGTGTTCTCTAATCCTGCAGATGGGTACTACTGATCTTCACAGTCAGTCCAAGGCTCCCCTAAGAGCTTCGGCTCCCTGTGCATGTCAAGACCAATCCTGCAGCACATGTCTAATATGACAGGACTTTTAAAAAGATTTCTACTCGTTACACGTACGCTACACAAATCACAGATACCAAAGACACAGGAACTGTAGTCTAGGGCCATAGTAGTCCCACGTGCAGAAGCATCGCTGGTCGTTCTTTATCTCTGTGCCTCTCTGCTCCTGTATGAAGCTCCGTGGGCAAGCATTCTCACACCAATGTGTTAAAGGAATGAAACATTAAAAAAAATGCACAAATTAACCACCCTGATAGCAAATTAATTGATGCAAATAAATGCAAATTCAATGCGTTACCCTGGCATGGCATGCTAATGAGAAAACAAGTCATTTAGTCAATCAAGGAAATATGCAAATAAAACCCATCCTTTTCTAAGGTGCTTTGATGCAGAAGTCTAGGAGATATTAAATACTTGCACTGTATTTTGAGGGCATAAATTACTATATATGGAGTTTGCAATGAGAATATTCTACCCTGTGTTTTCATTTGTTACGAACCTGGCAACAGAAACACAACAAAATTCATTTTCTCCTTAGAAATGATGCAGAAAGATATTTTTCACACTAATGCGAAGTTTGAAGCTTACCGCAGGAAAAAAACCCAAACAACCAAAATGTGCTCTCAGGATACTGTGGTGAGGATAATTTTGCAATTTTAACCTTATCTAATGCCAAATGGTACAACCAAGCAGTTTGTACTTCTCAAAAGATAACAAACAGCTCATCCTTCTAAGACCTGCTGTTGCAAACAATATTTGCTTTTTTCAGTGTGTGCACCTGAGGACCAGTATTACGGGCCGAGAGTCAGATGACAAGTTGCTACAGAAGATCCGCTGCCTCCACGGAAATTACTGCACAGATGTTCTTGTGGATTACAAGCACATATTATTAAACACACCACACACCAAGGAGGGTCAGAGCCCAGTGAAAAGCACTGGTCATCACTTGCAGCAAGAAACAGGATCAAATGATGCAATCATAGTTTCAGAATTAATTGCTAAAACACCAGGACTGACTGAAGTGAGACACTGACTTTATTAAATACCATTGCATGCACAGCTGCTGTAAAGAAGAGATAAGAACAACACTAGATACTATTCCTTTCTGAAGAGTAAGTTTAAGGTTAGGGGCTAAAAGGTGCCAAAAATTACTTGCTGTCTCTTTGAGCTTTTTACTGTTATCTGCTTAGCCCCTTCTACGAACAATTTAGGATACACCAATTACTTAATAAAATATTTGAAAAGTAGCCATTTGAATATTTTACCATTGCTGTGAAATTGCACTCTACTCTTCCTAAGCTAAAAAAGCAGAAGCAAGCACTTTTATGTCGAGGAATGGGCAAGCAGCTTGCTGGCAAAGCCTTGACTACCCATTAGTCTAATACGTTTTGGAACAGCAAAATTATACCACACTAAGATGTTACACAGTGAAGTTCAATCAGTAGCTGTGACATGCTTAACCCAAATACTTTTCTCTGATTGTATTTTGAAATTAATGGAAATGGAATTACTACTTTGTAAAGAAAATAATATACTTCCTAGTAGATGAACAGTCGCTCACTGGGCTTTGTTACAGGGACTATTACCTTCTCAAAGATCTATGTTGCTGTCTCCACAATATCTGCGTGCTAAAATACATGACATTTTCTCTATGGTTGATCTGGCAAAAGTAGATTTTTAAGCACAGACGTGAACCTGGTGATGTAGAAGGGAATATTCACACACTTAAAATTACATATGTGCCTAAGTGTGCAGAACAGAAGCCTAAATTTTCCTCTCCTCCTGCATCTCTGTGGACTCTGCATTCTGTGCAAGTTCAGCTTTCTGATTGTTAATACGGTCTGGATTTTCCGAGAGATTTAAACAAATGGCCATAGTTATCCCTAGTGCTTTCCATTTAGTAGAAGGAATAGTGTTCAGAATTTGCATGTGGAATCATCCGATTTCATTCACCTGAAACAACACGACCTAACTGAAGTTTCCACAGCCTGACAGACATTTTGTCAGGTGAAATAAATATTCTGGGTTTTGGTGGATAAATGGAGGAACGCTCAAAGACTGTGCTTAATGTTATTTCATTGCCCGCTGTCTATAATTTTGGTCTATCTACACCAGCGCATTTCTTTCTCTTCCTTGGTACCTCCTCCCAAGCATAACTAAAAGTAAGGGCGGGGGGGGGGCCCTCTTTTTTGGGCAGAAAAACTTGAAGATCGCCAGCATTACACATTTTCCAAGGTCAAAAGAGAAAGATAATGGAAAAAATACAGTCAAGCCATTTTAATGCTGGCATAATTCTATAAAAAGGACTGTGAATTCATGGAGGGAAGGAGATGAACATGCTGTTCACCTGTAGCTCTGCAATATAATTTTCATATCAAGTGTTAATGACAGGTAACCTCCCCAGAGATTTATTCATTCATTTTCTTCCAGGTACAGCATATTAGCCGAAGACTTTTCTGCATAGCCACGCTGCCATGATGTGAATTACAATTAACGCTAAGCAGCCAGGGGTTGTTTGTTAGATTATTAGAGTCAGCGAAGCTGAGTGACTCATTCTATGCTATTTACAGAAAAGAAGGCAAGCAATTCATCACAGGACGGATGTTAATGATAGGCTACCTGGATCCCTATAGAGGAACGTCGACTCTTAAGAAACTCCTCTGCTTTTGTCACTAAAATGGCCTTGTCACTGGTTCGTATGGAGGTGCTCTGGCTGTCGGACGCGTGGCGCTGCGCAGCCGCCGTTTCCAAGGCGAGATTCATGGCCTTGTTACTGTCCAAACTGTCGGTAGAGTTGTACATCCCTCGCCCGTCCTGCGGCCACGGGGAAATCCTCTGAGTTCGGCTGTCGTGATAGGCGTCCTGCGTGGATTCTGTGCTGCTCTGCGCCGTCACCGAGATCAGGGGCTTGGAAGTGGTACGAGGGGGTACCGGTGGCGGTGTTTTTTTGTAACTTGTGTAAGTTACAGCTGTGGAAAGAATTTAAAGAAATGAAAGAAAAGAAGGGGGGGGGCGAGAAAAAGGAAAATCAAGATTAATCTGATGAAAATTTCACAATGGAATTCACCTTATGCTATGTAAAAATGAAGGTGGTGCAACAGAGCACTCGTCGTGAGCCTCGCTATGAGCTGAAAGTGTCTCCCAAAGGCAGATGGGTATCTACAGCAATATTTTATTTCAACCAGGAAGCAAGGGGTGGTAATGGGAGTCCCAGATTATGGTGAAGATGAAAGGGAGTTCATGAGGATTTGTGTGTGTTAAGACTTGTGCTGGGTGGGTACACACAGAGGCTCCTGAGGTTGTTTCTGCATGTGGTAAAGCTGATAAGAGAAATAAAGGAAGATAATTTTTTTCCCTCTTGCCATCTGAACTGTGGGCTGTGCACTGATATAGTGTTTTAAGAAAGTAGCATCAATATAGTGGAACAAAATATTATTCAGGAACTTCTACTCTTCAGTATGTCACACTTTAAAAATACTTCCAGGTGTACTGGCTGGAATTAGGCAAGATCGGCTACTCAGACAAGACGTGATGTTTTAAAAATATCAAGAGTACAGTTAATAAAAGGAAATTCCAGGCAGGCAAAAAATGTTACAATATATGCAAAGCTACTAGATACTTAGACAACAAGCAAAACCTACAAGTATTATCAAAAGCAGTGACTTTTTATCTATGGTTCTGCAGTAAGTCTTAAATCCTTAGAAAATACATCGAAGGGGGATATACTTAAATGCAGAAAACATGGAAATATAGGTAAAAATGGGTTTGAAACATTGGGAGGACTGGATATACATGAGCAAAACTAAGACTTCTAGTCTGATGAGCAGAGCAGATCTGAAGCTGGTTTAACACAAAGTCAGTTTTGCAGCAAAAGGCTCAATAAAATATCCAAGGAAGCTCTTACAAAATTTTAGAGATTTCAGAGATAAATATCTAGTCATTAATATCACACATCTGAATTTTTTAATTGTCTAAGCCCTGCATACTTTTTTGGTACTAGTAAGAGCATGTTTTTTTCCTCAAAGCACATGTAATCATAATTCATAAAATTAGCAACTGATAAAAAAATGCATTGTGATATAGCTTTCTGTATTCCAGTACAGGAAAGTCAAATCCAGTTCATTTTTTTGTATAACTGCAGGAAGATAAAGGAAATTATTATGTTTTCCTGTATCAATAATGCTGAAATAGCATAATGTATAAATGCAGAGACAAGGGTAATGAACGACTCAAGGAAAAGGTTTGCCTTTTTCCTGGTGTTGCTAAATGCATTGCACATTGCAACAGTGACTCAGGAAACCTGGGAACTGGGGTTACTTGAGCCCAAAAAGGATTCTACAGAAGTTCCTCTTCCTATTATAAAAATAGGGGCTGATGAGCAATGAAGTCAGAAGCGTCTCTCCTGTCGTGCAACATAACCGCGAGGTTATCATAGAATCATAGAATGGCCTGGGCTGGAAGGGACCTTAGAGATCATTTTAATCCAGCCGCCCTGTCGCCAGGGACGCCACCTCTTGACTAGATCAGGCAACACATGGGGACCGAATGGGACTCAAACCAATGACCTTGGCATTGTTAGTGCCACGCTCAGCTGACTGAGGGTGCAACTCTGTGGAGAGAAAAGACCAGCTTAGGAATTTTCTAATGCCTGGGACTGCTGAGCCTGTATTGCCAGGCTAGCTTATGGGAGAAGTGTGCCTAGGGAAGACTTAAATTTTCATTCCTCATAATCATAAATAAAAGGGTGATCATATACAAAAGAGAGGGAGGCAGAGCTAGGAAGTGAAAACCTTCATTTGAAGCACATTCTGAATTACTACTGATGCTGCCCAATTCTGGTAGAGATTTAAAGAGAGTCTTGCTCCGAGCTAAATTGCTCTAACAGAGTGAAACACATGAAAACCTGCTCTTCAGATTCTGAGACTTTGTGCTTTTTTTGAAGTGCTGTTTTGTTGCCCTATCACCAATCTTATCTCCTGTCAGATTTGTAACCAGCAGTTAAGAAGAAAGAAAAACCCAATATTTTTCAGATGCTTTAGGGAATACAGAAAGTACACGAAAGAACAGAGAGGCTGTAAAGCTTGGAAATTAAGATGGTGCCTTATGAGCTCAAGCAGTGGCTCTAAGGAATGTTGCCACTAAAGGAGTTGCCATAATAGGGCTCCCCTGCCATCCCCTTGCAAGTGTAGATGCAAATGATCAGAATTCTGGGAAACATTAGAGATCGAGACAATGCGGTGAAATAGGGTGAGCAAAATGCAGAACAGGAACCTATTTTTACCTATAGGACAGGTTATCACTGTTATAAGTAATTTACTGTTTTCTACCGTCTGTCTTCATGAAAAAGAGTAGCAATGAATAATGAAACATATGGTAAATGTGATAATGAAACATCACAAGCAAGTATATCCTTACTGCTTGCACAGCAGATCACTTTTCTGCCTAATGAATATAAATGTTAAACTTCTGTGGCAACCCTTCATAGCTAACTTAATCTTCATTTACATTTCTAAAAGAGAAAAATTCTCCTTGTGGCAAAACCAAACCAGTCACATGCTGGTTTTTGGGTTTCTTTTTTTCTCCTTAAGATTCCGTATTTTATTCTGGAAATTTCTGTCTGTTTTGATGGAGTGACACGTCTTGAAGCCACCAAGTACTACAGCTGCTGCAGTGTCCTGGCAAGCATTTGATCATTAGCACTAAAAGGAATAAAAAACCCCTCAGATGTTCAACGAGGAGAAGAAATCAGGAGAAAGACTGAAAGTTCGTGAGAAACTGGCTACATATTTATGGTGAAAGATGGCAGGAAGAAATCCAATTAATTCTAAGCTACAGTCACAGAGATCAAGTATTGATCAGGGAATAAAAAAACCCCATCTCTACACAGTTAATGAGTTCATATGTGGAACAACAGTTCCAGCACCACAGAGATCTGGGACTAATTGGAGACTTAGCAAAACCAGGTATGAGGATGGAGGCGTGAATTTGCGAGGCAGTTCTTGCCACCAAATTCCATTTGCTTTAATCACTCAGGCAGTTCTAGTAAAGTAAATGGGATAACTTAGATGAATAATGGGACTGAAACTTGTCTTAGATAAACTCAGTATGTGTTGCTGACTTAAGAGATGACTACATAATAGATTAGGGGCTTGTTGAAGGAGAATCACGCTTGGTTTAAGGTCTCTAATAAATAAATATTGGCTTAAGGTCTGAAGTATGGAATTTTATGTCACTTTCAAATGTTTTCCATTAATTATTACGTCTGTGAATGCTCCTGTTACCAGCAGTAACGTCTTTTTCCATCATGTCTGATACTTTGTCCCAGCAGTTGTACACAGCACGTATTATATATGGGAAGAAACAGTTCCTTCTCCTAACATAAAATGAACTTCTTTTTCATTTATCCTCCTCTTATGCTGACAGACAGGAGCCCCTGTCAGCTTTGCATCATCCGCTACTTTGCAAATTCTATTTACCTTAGTGGTTATTAGTTCAAAGGAAGCACATAAAATCTCCTCAGCGCTGCTTCACATCTCCCCCAGTTTTCGGTCCATCATTCTACAAACTCCAGAGCTGTGGTGGGTTTTGCTGTCCCCACAGGGAAGGCTGGTGCTGGGCAAGGCAGCCGCAGGGTACTGGACAAGGACAGTGCACATGTAACAGCATCCAGGGAACTGGTGCTGAAAGCTGAACTGGGAAAAAGGGAACTGAGATGGGGGATCCTTGTCTTCAATCCCAGCTGGCTAAGCTGGGTGTCAGAGCCAGCACGACAGCTGGGGATAGAAAACAGTGCAAGGACAGGGGCGTGCAAAAGCAGAGCACCAGGTGGGCAGATCTGTTGCCGCGTGGCTTTAGACTGATTGAAACTGTGGACTCCAGCAGAAGCAGAGACATGCTGCATAAAATCATAGAATGGTTTGGATTAGAAGGGGCCTTTAGAGGTCATCTGGTCCAATCCCCCCTGCAGTGAGCAGGGACATCTTTAACTAGGTCGGGATTCTCAGAGCACCATCAAGCCTGACCTTGAATGTGTCCAGGGATGGGGCACCTACCACCTCTCTCGAAAACCTGTTCCAGTTTTTCACTAACCTCATGATAAAACATTTCTTTCTTATATCCAGTCTAAATCTACCCTCTTTCAGTTTTGAAATGTAAAAGATCAATCCTGGATAATTTTCTGTTGTTTCTGTGGCTCACAAAAGATGACAGAAGAGTTCTGATTTCATTAGTTTCCTGAGTAGTTGTGATGTGTCTATGCTGGGCACTCCTGATATTTCTCTCACCAAACCTGCTGCTGAGCAATGAGGTTCAAGTCAAGTAAAAGCAAAATGCTGTTAATCAGTTCGTAAAATCCATAGCTGCTCTGAAATGCAAAGAAGAAAGTAGATGGCACAAGAGGTAAATGCATCTTTTTAATGTTTAAACTAAACACAGAAGGAAATATGAAAAAGAAATCAAAAGTTTCCTTCCAGTTGTATTCAAATATAGAAAGATGATTTTATTTTTTTGCTGTTTTTAATCAAGTGGGGAAAACTTTTTTTGGAGCTCACAAGATACAGTCTATCTCCATCTGTTAGCTTACAGTCATCAAAAATGGCAAAAACCTGTTCTAATTCTAAACTGTACGGGTATTTCAGACTTCCATTTGAATCAAAGTATTAATTGTTACGGTATCTGCCCCACTTCAACATAAATGTGTGCAATTGGCTCCACTGGATTTTCCTTTAAGGAAGGACATGATGACACAAAACCAGGATGGGTGGCTGACACACCAGAAGGCTGTGCCGCCATCCAGCAAGACCTAGACAGGCAGAGAGAAATCTTATGAAATTCAGCAAGGGCAAGTGTAGGGTACTGCACGTAAGGAGGAATAACCCCATATACCAGTACTGGTTAGGGGCTGATCTGCTGGAAAGAAGCTCTGAAGAAAAAGACCTGGAAGTCCTGGTGGACAACAGGATGACTATGA